ATCGGCTGATCGATGCCTTCGATGAGAACCCAATTGCCGGCCGGAACTCTATTCACTTCGATGTGATACCGGGCCTCATATATCCAGAGTCTGCCGACACTCATAATACGTGAGTCCTCTTCGTCGAGAGACGAGTAATTTTCGCCTAAAATCTTTACCTCTTGTTTCGCGTGAAGAGTTCCGCTCAACACAAGACCAAACACGTGAAAAGTAGACGCGTCTTGCGTTGAGTACTGTTTAGTTGTGTGAACCATAAGAGAGCCGTCGGGATCGCAATTAATCATTGCTTCACCTAATGGCGAATCGAGCGGTCCTTTCCATATATTCTCAATCTTATGGCTCGCGTTCTTTACCGGCGAAGGGATGTGTTGAACGCAAAGGTCTATAAGACAATTAAAGTCACCCAAAAATCGGGAACAAACGAGTCGGAGAAGCGGTCTTATGTTTAATCGCATCTCAGATTTCGAGAGTTTAATTCCCAATTCTTCCAAAACATTGGGAAGCGTTGAGTCGACGTCTCCGACCACTTGAGCGAACAGTTTGTAAAGCGGTTCCAAAATAAACTCAATAAATGAGCGCTGCATCTGACTGTTGGCTGGCTTTCGGCTAAACTTTCGACTTTAAAAACAAATAATTTTATAAATGTCTAATGTTTGAGAACTGTTTAGTAATAACTGCATACGTGGTGGCATTGAAATACATGTCTCCCCACAAACGCTTTGCCAATTCGTTTGGATTAAATCCTCCGCCAAAGTGTTGACAATAGAGTTGAGAGAAGGATTTCAATGTAAAGCAAACACTGTATTGTGAACTCGCAAAACACACATTCCCTACGAGTGGCGATATAAGAGGCGGCTCTTCGTCGTCATAGTATGTCCTGAAAAAGAAAAACCCTTTCATTATTTAGGGTTTTTGTAGTTACACGTAAGCAATGCGTGACTCACGCAATAAGACTATTGATTTCGTCCAAAATATATTTGATCTTAAAGTAGGCGTCATTCGGCGGAAGTTTGAGCTCAAGTATCAAACGATCGATTTTATTGATACAGACAGTGATGGCCAGACCCTCCTGAACGGCGTGTCTGAGCAGTCGCTCCGTATTCAACATAACGCCTTCAGCCGCGTCCACAAACAGCACAATACCATCGCATAGTCTGATAGCGGCGGTCACCTCATCGGAGAAGTTCACGTGACCCGGAGTGTCCATTATGTTCATTAGGTATGACTTGGACTTCAAGTCTTGCATCACAACCGTTATTGGCGTCGATTTAATACTCACTCCTCTCTCTTGTTCTGTGTATAAGATGTCTGTAAAACGAAACTAAAGACAAATATTTCATTTAAAACAGATTTTTGAGTGAAATATCTAATTATAATTAGAAAATATTAAACCGCTTTTCCTTCTTTGGTCTTCAGCTCTGGATGTGTTTGCTCTACAATACAGTCGATGAATGCGGTCTTTCCGTGATGTAAGTGACCAACAAATGCAACGTTTCGTATCAGTTCTGTGCTGTCCATCAGATCCGTCATAAATCTAAATAACAAATATCAGCACAAAATTCAATCAAACAAATGATCAATCGATGAATGTCTCGAAACACATACTCCAAGTCATAGACAGTTGTGGGCAAGTCTTGCACTTCGTGTGAAAACTTCTTGAGCCGAACCGGTTGTATAATGGGTTCAGTGAGCGGTTGGGCGTCTTCTTCCTGGA